CCGGCAACCAGCGGGCCCACAACGGGGCCACCCCGGTACACGACGCAGCTGCCACCGGCAGCCTGGCGGAGCTGTGCTGGCTGGTGCGTGAAGGGGGCTGCGGTCTGCAGGTGAGCAGAGGGCAACCAGGAAGGCAGTGTCCCTGTGAACAGAGGGAGGAGTGAGCTGTGAGCTAGAAGGTCCTCTGCCCTGGGCTCTTTCTCTCAGGGACTCACAGCTCAGTCTGTGCAGTGTCTCTGCCCTCTCCCCCACCCACCCCCCTCAGCAACACAAAGCCCTTGCAAGCCAAGGCCACCTCCTAAACCACCTCGTCTCCCCATCGCCCCCACCTCCCCGCACAGGAGCGCCTGGCCTTGCGGATGGGTGTCCCGCCAGTTCTCATCAGGCCTGGTCCCGGGGGCCTGTCTCTCGGGATCTAGAAAGGGCCCATAGGCACGCGCAGTGGGCACTTGGGCTCAGGAGCTGGAGCCCCGAGCGAGACTGAGGCCCTGATGCTAGAGAGACGTCTCCAGGGTTCAAGGACGAGCTTGTGGGGGAATTTCTACCAGGGCCCGTCCTTGCCCTGTTCCTGCCTGTCCGATACCCCTTCGTGAGGAGAGACTGTGAGAAAGCTCCGACAGAGCCGAGTGGGCATCGGGGACCGCTGGGTCCCAGGAGAGGGAAGACTCACTGGTCACAGCCTGAGGCTGCCCAGTCACCACCGCCAGGGGCAGCGGCGGGAGTGCTGCCTGTCCGTGCTGTGCCTGGGAGAAGGCCCGGGGCTGCGGCTCCCGCAGTGGAAATGCTCCCGGCCAGGGCCTGTGCTGGGGGTGGGCACTCAGTGGGGTGGGGTGGGGTGGGGCCGAGGTCAGGAGGCCGCCATGACCGCTCGCAGAGATTGGGAAGGGGCATGGCTGTGCTCTGACTGTGCATGTGTCAGGGTCTCAGATTGTGACCCAGACCTGGACTTGAGCCCTGGCCCTGCCTCTAACCCTGAGCAGGTCGCCTCACTTAGAAGAAAGGGCCTCCCTGGCCTTGGAGGGAGCAGGGGGGAGAGGAGGGAGCAGAACCTTCCAGCAGGCGGGGTCCCTGGCAGGGTGGACCCCAGGCTGGCTCAGGCCACGGGTCCTGCCCAGCGGGGTGAGTCCAGACCTGCCACCCATTCCCCACCCTGCCTGTGCCCCGGTAGGACCAAGATGACTCGGGTGTCTCCCCGCTACACCTGGCCGCCCGCTTCGCCCACCCGGTGCTGGTGGAGTGGCTGCTCCGAGAGGGCCACGCAGCCACGCTGGAGACGCTGGAGGGGGCCCCGCC